GACACAAAAGAAAGAAACGAAGATAGAAAATGCACGAATCGCTTCTCTCTCCTTTTAGGCAAACGCTTCAGTGAATTGCAGTCAATTCTGCTTTGTTTTTTGGGAATTTTTCAAAAACATATAATTACTTAAAAAGTAAACCAGTGTTATTTTCATAGATTAGAATATGATCCAAATCGAAGAATGCATTTTTTTTTTAATATTAAAAATTAAATAATGCAGAAGCGGGAGAATGAAAAATGAAATACAATTGGAAGATACGAAGGTACAAAAAACGAATATTGAATAACTAAACCTGGATATAAATGTATGTGAAAATCTGGTCACGTACACAAAGGAGCATGTAAACATGTTCACAAAAGGAAACATCTCTCCATATATATATATATATATATATATATATATATATATATATATATATATATATTATGTGTAATTTCAAATTAAATGTTCCTGATGTGTTTAAATTTTAATGATATACAAACAAAGAACGCACAACACCTGCAGATTTAGGAAGAGATTTTTAAATTACAAGCACAAATTTATTGAATGGTCTGAGCTTCTACATTGAAATACATACATTTTAAAATAATATATATTCTTCAAAAATAAATCTGATCATGTGTTAAATATATAAATTTTATTTTACCTGGGTATATACAAGACATTTTGAACTGATAATGTATATATATATATATATATAGAGAGAGAAAATAATAGACATTATCAACTACAAACTAGACCGCAGTATCGGACCATATGGCAATCTTAGCGAATTAAGAATGTCTACCTTTCAACAACTTGCACATTTTTTTAATATCGCAACAAAATCCTAGAAAATGGCTAATAGATTAGCCGAAAAGATGTCGGTACTCATATGGACAACAACATGTCCTTCCCTATACAAAGAAATTATTCCTCACACACGAGAAACGATACAAAAAGCTTCAGTAAAGTAACATCTCTCTCATTTTCAATGAAACGAGTATTATAGAGAGACTGTTGATCCCCACCCCCACACATATATTTTAGGATATTACATCAAAAATATGTCAAAATTGCTACACAAATGCATTTCATTACAATCGCCTGATGAGATACATTGATACTTATCGAAACACGATTGCAATTGTGTAGCGATTTTGACATGAATATTGCTCTGCTTTGTATTGAACCCTCTTTTAAATTAAATGTTACGAACTTTGGAATTGTACTTTATTCGTTATCGTCTTACATATATATATATATATATATATATATATATATATATATAACCAAAACAAACCGCCTATAAAAGAAGGGAAAATATCAAGCGAGAAAATAAAACGAAAAATTGAATAAAAAGACAAAAGAATGGAAATAAAACAAAAGGATATACACCTACCTACACAAAACCTAAAGTGCACAGTGCCTCTAGAAATCAGACTAAGACAGATTAGTAACACTAACAAATACCAAAGAGTTATCAGTGACAGATCGTCAGGTGTCAAGCATTGCTTCTTGTCGTCTGACGACGTCATAGCGTGAAATTCGACTATGATTTGGATTGGAATGCCGAAGTGCTATTTTGGTTTGGTACACATATACACACACAAACTTGGGAGACCTTTGAAATTAGACAAAAGAAATCGAATAATGCTGGTGGATTTTTGTGTATTCAAGACAGAATTAACAGCTAATCAAGGAGTGGAACAATCCAGAAATACTCCTGAACTGACAATTCATGTAATAAAACGGATACGACATAAATTCCAACATGATTGTTTATCTTGCCATACGTCGCGTATAATAAAGAAGTTTCTCGCTGATAAAAAAAATTGTAGAGTTACAATTTTATTGAAGTGGAAATAGTTGAAAACTCAGGAGTATGAGAAGAAAGCAAATAACTTGCAAGAGTCTTGTAGTATATGTTGTCAAGAATGGTTCTACAACATTCTTGATAAAACCGTTAAGTTGTGTTTATCCATTTTATTTCCAGATATGACTACTGTGCCTGAAAATACAATTTCGAATATTTAAAACAACTAAGTTACAATTAAGAAAATTGATACTTTGTTTCCTTATTTCATTAATATGACGGAAATAATTCCTTTAAGAAGTTTTATTGACGATAAAGTTAAATTCTTCTTTAAATATTTGCATTATTTTCTCTTAGATTCTGACTTTTAGTGTTTGACGTCAGGGTCGACGCTATATAAGAATTGTCCAAATTGCGACTTGCAAAAGACATTGCAAGCAGAAAAAAATACATTCCTAAAAATACGTTTAATTTGAAATCTATGCTGCATTTTCAAATTAAATGCTGTCATATGTTTTTTTTTTTTTTTGTGGTGCATATTTTTTTTTTATTAATTTGGTTGTAAATTTTGTTAAATAGATTTAATATCTTTGATCCTAAATGGAATGATATTTTATTACTGAAAATTTGTTTATATTTTTATTGTAAATGCTTTTAATATTTGTAATCGTCATATTTTAATTTAAACTAAAATATTAACAAAATAGTAATACCATCTATCGATATAGGTAGAATTATATAATTTAACCTGTATTATGGTGAACAGAATTTTTGCTAATAAATGAATTTTCTTTTTCTACGTGTTTCGCCCATTCGTGGTTTTGGCAATCATTGTTCTCCAAAATGTTTTTCTTTCTGTGCTGTGCCAAGGTTCCCGTCTCGCGTTCAGCTATCTATTCAAACAACCTCATCAGGTATGTTGCTCGCTGTCTCCCCCATATCTTTCTTACGCCCAGTATGCCCTGTGAGACTTATTTTTCCAAGCCCTCCTTCCTTAGTATCTGTCCGCGAAGTTTCAGTTGTCATTTTCTTATTCTGAGTGTTCTTTTTTGTTCTCATTTTCTCTTCCTCGTTGCCTACTAGCTCCGTCCATATAATTCTCATTATCCTCCTGTAGAACGACATTTTTTTATGTAGTTTTCTTTTTAGCCGTGGAAAAATATCCAGCATCCACTTCCATATAAAAGGACGGATATCACATAGCAATCCAGCACTCATTTCTTTGTTTCTAACGAATATTTTCAGTTTCTCAATGCTTTGCTTAGCTTTTTGAATGCATCTTTCGTGTTTATGATTTCGATATAGTATATTCCATCCTCTGTTAAAACACTTCACAGATATTTAAAGTTCTGTGCTTGCCTGATGTTGATATCTCCAATTTGTAACTCGCATCTTGGGTTTTTTGTCTTACTCATGACCATACCTTCTGTCTTCAGGCAGATGATCCTTAGTACATTTTTCTCTATTTCGTTTACTACACTGTCTGGGACGTCCAGTCAATTTATTTCCTTGTTATCAACACAGTGTCATCTGCGCATCTTAATTGTTAAAATCACGCCCACCGATTATAAATCCTGGTTAGCTTTTTTGTTCCATAGTATAGTGCCGTTGTAGAAGTTGAATAAATCTGCAGAGAAGGCACATCCTTGCTTTACAACGCTTTCTATTTAGGTGTAGTATAAGTTCTGCATTTTTATAGCATATTTTATATGAATTACTATATAATTATTATAAATCTCACCCAAATTTCTTCACTGTATATCCTTGCCCGACACAGATAATGCACGTAAGGAGCGGCTAAGGGTCAATAAGCAGACGTGGCTCTTGGGGCAATGTTCCGAGGTTATCCGTATATATGGATGAGTATCGTTGCGGAACTGAGTGAGTAACAGAGAGAGTGGGAGGGAAAAGAGAGAGAGAGAGAAAGAGAATATTAAAGACGTATCGTGTATCTTTGTGATCTTCTCTTTTTAACTTAAGTTTACTTTTCAAATTTAATTTCAGATAAATACTTTCGTTTAAGTTCGTGTTTTTTTTTTATTTATTAATTTAATTCTTTGTTTTTTTCCAACCATATTCCTCTATTTTCGTTTCGTTTTTTATTAAATTTTTTCCAACCATATTCCTCTATTTTCGTTTCGTTTTTTATTAATTTAATTCTTTGTTTTTTTCCAACCATATTCCTCTATTTTCTTTTCGTTTTTTATTAAATTTTTTCCAACCATATTCCTCTATTTTCGTTTCGTTTTTTATTAATTTAATTCTTTGTTTTTTTCCAACCATATTCCTCTATTTTCGTTTCGTTTTTTATTAAATTTTTTCCAACCATATTCCTCTATTTTCGTTTCGTTTTTTATTAATTTAATTCTTTGTTTTTTTCCAACCATATTCCTCTATTTTCGTTTCGTTTTTTATTAAATTTTTCCAACCATATTCCTCTATTTTCGTTTCGTTTTTTTATTAATTTAATTCTTTGTTTTTTTCCAACCATATTCCTCTATTTTCTTTTCGTTTTTTTTATTAAATTTTTTCCAACCATATTCCTCTATTTTCGTTTCGTTTTTATTAATTTAATTCTTTGTTTTTTTCCAACCATATTCCTCTATTTTCGTTTCGTTTTTTATTAAATTTTTTCCAACCATATTCCTCTATTTTCGTTTCGTTTTTTATTAATTTAATTCTTTGTTTTTTTTCAAACCATATTCCTCTATTTTCGTTTCGTTTTTTATTAAATTTTTTCAACCATATTCCTCTATTTTCGTTTCTGTTTTTATTAATTTAATTCTTTGTTTTTTTCCAACCATATTCCTCTATTTTCGTTTCGTTTTTTATTAATTTAATTCTTTGTTTTTTTCCAACCATATTCCTCTATTTTCGTTTCGTTTTTTATTAATTTAATTCTTTGTTTTTTTCCAACCATATTCCTCTATTTTCGTTTCGTTTTTTATTAATTTAATTCTTTTTGTTTTTTTCCAACCATATTCCTCTATTTTCGTTTCGTTTTTATTAATTTAATTCTTTTTTTTTTTCCAACCATATTCCTCTATTTTCGTTTCGTTTTTTATTAATTTAATTCTTTGTTTTTTTCCAACCATATTCCTCTATTTTCGTTTCGTTTTTTATTAATTTATACGCAACATTTGTTCCTTTGTTCAGATTTTACGCTCAGAATTTCTCTCATTTTCTCACCGTCTTCTTTAATATGACACTTTCTTTTTTTTTTTTTCATTTTCTTTCACATCTCATTTTTGTTTTATTTCATTACCTTTATTTCGCTCTTTCTCTTTTTTTTTTTTTTTTCTTCCTCTGTTTTTCCTTTCTTCATTTTTTTTCTTTAGAATCCTCGTTGCTTTTACTTTTATACTTATTTTATTTTTCCTTCTGTTTTTTCCTTCTGTTATTTTTTCTTCTATTTTCCTTCTTTTATTTTTCTTTGTTTAATTTTTTTCGCTTTATATTTCTCCTTCCTTTATTTTTTCCTCGTTTATATTTTTTCTTTCTTTATTTTCCTTTCTTTCATTTTTTCTTCGTTTTATTTTTCCTTCTTTTCTTTTTCTTTCTTTTATTTATTCCTTCTTTTATTTTAACCTTCATTTTATATTCCCTATTTTATTTATTCCTTGTTTAATTATTTCCTTGTTTATTTTTTTCCAAGTTTAATTTTTTCCTTGTTTCTTGTGGTATGGGACCACAGCTTAGTGGATACCTCAAAACTAATTAGTCATTGTTTGCTGTATAAGGGGACTAACCCTTACTCCTTAGCGAAACACTGAATTATTATGATATTGATTCTGTCTATTGTGTCCTTTAGGATTTTACCACTTTTCTTCCTTGTTTTCATTCCTTTTATATTTTCATCATTTTTTTTCTATCTTTATCTCTTTCACTTCATATCATTCTGTCTTTTATTCAGTTTTGCTTTGTCCTTGTTTTATTTTTCCTGTTTCTCTCGCAAAATCCGTTTTCTTTACATGTGAACGTTTTTATAGATTTTTAGTAACCATCTTTGTGGATTTTTACGTCATACCTTTCTCTTTATTCCTTTTTCGCTGTCTCAGATTTTTTTTTTCATTTTCTCTTTGTTTTTTCAATCGATTTTTCTTCTTCTATTTCTGTTTTTCTCTTTTTCTCACAATTCTCTTAAACTTTCCCCCTTTTATTTCTTTATTGCTTTAATTTATTCTTTTTTTTTTTCTATTTCTTTCTATAATATCACTTCTTCTATATTTCCCTTCTCATCTTTATTGGTGTCTAACATGTCCTTCTTTTTTTTTTAAATATTTTGTTCTTTTATTTCATTTAGTTTTTCTCGTGTTTCTAATAATATATTTTACTTCTTTCTTTCTTTGTTGTTTTCTTTCTTCCTTTTCTTTCATTTTTACTCCATTTTATTTCTTTATTTCACTCCCTGTTTTTTTTTTGTCTATCACTGCCTTCATTTTTTTATGTTTGTTTCTTTTTTTTTGCTTTTTATTCTTACGAAATGTCATTAATCCTATTTGTCTTACTTTCTTTTTATCTCTCTTTCATCTTAATTTTCTCCTCTTTGTTTCTTCACCTTTTCCGTCACTATTTTTCTTTGATTCCTTCATTAATAAGTTTGTACTATTTTATTATTCATATACATTACTAAGACTTCAAATTCTGTCCAATGATCTTGTTAATCTTTCTCTCTCTCCCCCACACGCACAGACACAGATACAACACATACACACACATACATATATATAAATATTTTAATATATTTTATTGTTAGACGTTATTTATATAGACAATAAAATATATTAAACTAATTGTCGGACTTTATCCGTATCGTAGTGTGTAAGTGATATATATGATGGACTCTCCTGTCGTATTCGAGGTATTATGGTCAAGCAGCTCAGTTCCTAGGAACAAACAGCCCAGACACCAGCACGTATGATTTGATTATAGTGGTGAAGGCTTTGTGCAGAACCAACCACATTTTTTAAAGGGCTGAATACAGTGACCTGATGCAATACGTGCCACAAGGTCCCTAAACGGCCGTCCGCAGGTTTTGAATTCAGAGTTGTCCTTCTCCTAGACCAGTTGCCATATCCAAGGCTATAGAACCCAGCCTGTCCTGCTGGAGGGAGAAGACGAGGATTAATACCTTTTCCCAAATTAATGTTATAAATGCGACCGAATTAGAACTCTGCTCTCCGATTCCACCATTACTTCAACGTGCCTCCTAATACACACACACACACACACACACACACACACACACACTATATATATATATATATATATATATATATATATATATATATATATATATATATATATATATATCCGATGCAATGAGAACGAAAGTAATATACAAATTATAACGTTCACAGCATTTATCCAAAAGAGGGCTCGATACCGGAAGTAGAGAGATAATTATTTATTATAAATTAATCATATAGACAAAAAACACATTACTCTCTAAAAAGATGCAACTTCGTTTCGGTGCTTTTCAATTGCACCTCGACTGGTGAGAATCAAATATGCTTATGAACAATTCTGCTTTTAAGCAAACCGTAAGTGAAACGTCACTTTCTTTTTTTCCATTTGTTTAAGAAAAAATATACATAAAACAAAAAGGTCACTGAGTGAAACAATAGTGCTTGTTGATTGCAGTTTGGTGAAGGATGGGTGGGGGTGTTGAATACTGGCTAATCTGGATTAGAATCCTTGCCGATAAACGACGGTCAAAAGTTTAGGCACAGCATCTCACAAGTGTCCAAAAAGTGAGGGGTTGAGGAGGAAAGGTAGGAATATGAGATAGTAATACGATAGAAGAGGTAGGAGGGATAAATTCTAGCGATAGTTGTTGTAGTAATTGGGAATGCTTTTTTGGTTTACTATAAAAAAAACGAGCTAAAGATGAATTGCATATATTTATGTTGGAGTTATCACGACTGGTTCCGTAATCAATGAAAGTGTTTAGTAAATTAATAAATTTAGAAGTGGTGATTTCTTCTTTGTATGTTGGATTTTAAGTTTTTCGGTTGTAAGAAAAAACGTTTTGATTTAGAAATTATGTATAAGTAGAAAAAAGTATGGGATATTAATATAACATTTATAATCAAATTTTGACCTATTCTCGGACAGTATAACGTGTAGAATAAGTATGGGTGTAAAACAATTTTTTGAAAGTATTACTCGTAATATATATGCCAAAAATATATATTTTAAGAAAAATAATCTAATATAAATTAGTGGAGAGTTACATAAGAGGGTAGGAAGAATATCAAAGGAGGTGAGTTATGATTTTAAACGTTTAGAGTTTGGGAATTAAGAATTTAGCAAGATTGTAATGTTAGATCCTTAATATATTTACAAAAGAACGGTTCTTTGGTTTAATAATTGGGTGTTGTTCAAAAGCTCAATGATATATATTTTCTCCTTCAAACATAAAAAGCAAGGTTCGTTCAGAGAATTTCAGGTTCTGGCTTGTGTTAGGATATTCCATTTAACCTTAGGCGTTTTTCTTTCCTCCTTCAGTTTCCAAAAATATTTCAAAAGTGATGTCATCCACCCTTCCCCAAACTGCTATCAACAAGTAATATTGTTTCACTCCGTCAACTTTTGCTTTATGTATATTTTTTCTCAAACAAATGGAAAAGAGGGAGTGATGTTTCACATACGGCTTGCCCACAAGCAGAATTGTTCGGCTTCCCGCCTTGCTTGGGGTGAAACGCTTAAAAAAAAATTTAAAAAATAACCATTTTTGGTTCTGACCTGTCGAGGTGCAGTTGAAATGCACCGAAACGAAGTTGCATATTTGTAGTGAATTAAATGTTTTTACGTCTATATGATAAAATATAATTATATATATATATATATATATATATATATATATATATATATATATATATGTATGTGTGTGTGTGTGTGTGTGAAGGCATCTTTTCGACACATATATATAGGTCTGATGATTTGGATCATTTACGATTCCAATGGAATAAATTAACCATGGAATATTAGTATTTATATTTTTATTATATCCTTATGTCCTAGACATTGAGTTCTACCTGGATCCTTCCTCTTGGAAAATTTTTTCTGAAAAATATACATGTATATTTTTAGATATATTTTTCATATGTATGTATATTTTCCACTAATCATCTATATATATATATATATATATATATATATATATATGAAAATCCGAATCATGCTGTTGTTGATATATATATATATATATATATATATATATATATATATATATATATATATATATATATATATATAGAGAGCGAGAGAGAGAGAGAGAGAGTGAGGAAGGGAAGCATTCAGTACCGCATGGTGACTACTCCTTTCATAATTCAGTATCGACGATCACTCTCTCTGATATTGAACCCTCTTCTTCTATGAAAGCATGAATTGAAACTATATATATATATATATATATATATATATATATATATATATATGTCCCTCTTGTCTTCTATCTTTCCTAATGGTGTCAAGTTTTCCAAACACTCTTTCTTCATTGTGTGCCCATGAAATTTAAACACTCTCTTTCAGTTGTTAAGTATAAGGGTCCCTTTTGTTTCTTTTTCCTTTAAAAAGCGTGACCTGTCAGTGGGGGAAGCTCTTGCCGTGTCAAACTCTTTGCCTAAAGGCAGGGAGGAACTCGGACGAGACTCTGCCGAAGGGCAGAGTCTCGTCCGGGGAGTTAGACAGATACCCGATCCTGCGTATGCGGGGTCTATGGGCAATTTTTACCCGACCCCACGGGCTCGGATATCTCCACATTAAATTTTGCCTTGTGCCACATCATACCTCGTGGGGATGCAGGTAAATATCGTAATATGCTGTCTACGTAGTCTACCACTAGCAGTGGTTTACCTAATTCACGCCGCTGGCGAGTATTGTATTTCGTTGATTTTATAAGGATTACCATTTCATTTCCAACCTTCGTTTTGGTTATTCCTCATTCAGTAATCCTTTCTAGGTTGCAACAGACAAAGAGAGAGAAAGAGAGAGAAAAAAGTGTGACGTCGTCCCCTGGTCGCAGCGCTAACTGTAACGTCCTATCCTGGTCTACCACGGCACTAGTTGTGACGTCCCCAAACAGCACCAATTGTGACGTCCTCGCCGCGGCGCAAGCTGTTCGCTCCTCGCTGCTCCGTTCGGGTGTCGCTGCTCCAAACGTGACGTCCGCCTGTCGCGTCAGTCGTGTTGTCTCGTCCTGTGACGACCAACTGGCTTGGTATCGGTCGCGGCACCCAAATGTGACGTTCTAACCTTTTTGTGATTCGGATGGGAATCTGGTTAGATTTGATATCAGCCTCGTCGTTCCCAACTCGCTTCCAACGCCTGGTTACCAAGGTAACTGCATAGATCTCCAGTCTGCCTACCCACGTTGTGAATTGATCTTAGACAGACGAGATCAATCAGTAGTTGGGGCCGTAATGCAAATCGAGTTCAACGGGGGTGACACCACACAAATATGCATAAAAGAAAATGAAATGAAAACTCAAAAGTTCAAGGTATCAAAGAAAAAGGTAACAAACTTTATGTCTAGTTGTTCGATACAGAGGGCTGCATCTATCTCCCGACCCGTTCTATGGATTGTGACACGTCGTTTTCCGTTAGGCGAGTTTTAACGCTTCAAGTTGTTTGCTCTCTAAGAAATTGGTTTTTCGGTGTGTCTTCGGACGAAAGTCGAAAAAAACTTATTTTGGTGGTCTGGATCTAAGTCGCTCTTCAAAATAATTGTTCTTGGGTTGAAGAGGAGTCCGGAATTTGCGTGAATCTTGGTCAGCTATCTGCGAGGCGGCTTCAACTGGAGACTGACTCTGGGAACTGAATTCCTGGAACTGCTGGAACTCAACTCAAACTCAACTGATTTCTGCTCGTTGGGGCTTCGCTTATATGGACGCCGACCAAAACCGGGGTGGGTCTGTCGGCGTCGGGGTTTCCTCGATAATTCTAAATACATATCCACCTCTCTGGTTAGGAATTTCCACTTTTTTTCCATTTTTGGGAGCCTTTACTTACTCCCACCTTCTCACCATACTTCAGAGGGCGTGAACTGCCCTCCCCACTTCTTCGTAGCAGCTTCTCATACCTACACTCTGGATGAGGCGGCGACACGACTCGACCAATGATGTCTTAGTCGGGCGTGGACGAATCCGCGGCTTTGTTTCAGGAAGAAAAAAAAATATCTTGCTTAACTAAAAAAAATTATCCCTTCTTTTCCTTTTCTTCCTCTTAATCGCCGTTATCATTTCTCTAGCCGCAAACGAGGCAATATGAACAATGGCGGTCATAACTCTTGTTCTACACGTGGTTTTCGTCAGGTATTTTATTGCCAGTTATCAGAATGGGTGGTCTTCTTAACACGGCCAACGTCGCCCCGAAAAGACATTTCTAAATATCTTGCTTAACTAAAAAAATTTATCCCTTCTTTTCCTTTTCTTCCTCTTAATTGCCGTTATCATTTCTCTAGCCACAAACGGGACAATATGAACAATGG